TATATATATATATATAAACTTTGGTAAAGTTCATGGAATTAAAATAGAGCTGCTTGAGATATGAATGGAGAATTTGAAGGATTAAGATGAACCAATATACATTACAATTAATCCACTCGATCCGGATATATTTTAACCTCTTTTCAAAGTAATATTTTAAAAAGTCTAAAATAGTTAATTTTCCATTTTTTTGGGCATTTACAATATTTAATACATAAAATTTTATGTTTATATGTATGGCGTACACTCAAATATTTAATTTCACCTAACAACAATCATTATTATCAACTTTTTAATAGTGAAATATAATCTTTCATGCATAAGATTATAACAACAAAACTTTATATATGTGAATATCAAACTTAAGAATTTAAATATGTAAATACATAAGAATTGTGTGTATGAATGTAAGTAAATGTTCCTTCTAATTATTTTTATCTTTTGAAGAAACATGGCCAAAGTTTTTTTAATTATTTAAATGTAAAAGTGATTTTATTCATTGGTGAAATGTATAGGAGATAAAGAGTCATTGGCTTGTCAAAATTTTAGAGATATGTGCTAGAATAAAATATTACTTGTTGGACAATATTTCACTCATTGGCTTCTCAAAAGTTTAGAGAAGAAAACCCATATTATATCTTTGACATTCGTGTTGGAACATCATATCTTGAATAATGCTTGATTGATTATGGTGGCCATAAGCCCAAAGAATAACATCACCAAATATATGAATGAGATAATTGGATCTAAAATGTATAGATCAAAATTTGTTACATCAATTTCAAAATTTTAAGAATAATTACACAATGAGCAATTATAAGTTACATGAATTTTGTCACAATTGAGACGTGGAGGACCCATAAAATTATCATTTTGACCAATTCTCATTGTACGAAGATTACCAAACTAATAATATTGATCTCCTTAATCGACGATAGAAGTTAATTTACTAGCTACCTTTAAGGCGGATTTTGCATATAAAACTTAGTATATTTTGCACCATTAGAAAGAGGAGTCAAACTTATGGGGAGGGCAACTTTTGTTAGCCCATAGTAGAGGCTTAGAGACTAAGAAAACATGTGCTATAAAATGCTTGAAGTATATATTGTTTACAATATTGTAAAATAAAATATGATGTATTTTTTTCATTATTCTATCAAAAATTTATATTTTAATATTTAATGGTCGACCCCTTTCTTTTATGAAGACAATCGATGAAACTCTTAAGAACTTTAAAATTCTTTCCATGAATCGTAATCAAACCAAGGTTATGTAAGAGATATTTCATTTAGTCTTCTTCTCTTAGAATATTATGTGGACTGGGTTAATTTGGCATTTTATTATTATAATTAAGGGGGCATTTATCATAAATTTATGACAATAAAATAGTGTAAATGTAAATATCAAAATTTGGGTGTTTGATATGTAAATACGTATGAATTGTGTGTTATGTATGTAAATTTCCCTATTATTTTTCTTTTCTACTTAAGTAGGTGAAAGCTACCCTCAACATTTTATTACAAATAAGAAATATCATTTCAATCGGTAAATGCTAAAGCTTTCATTTGGAGTATTGACTGCATAATTGATATTTTTAATGTACAACTTGGTTTGAGAGAAAATCTATCTATTTTTTTATTTATATTTACTTTAAAGTAATAGTTTTTACATTTATAAAAAAATGTAATTTAACATTCAATATACACCAAATGACATATATTTGTCACGTGCTATAACAGCTACATTATTTGAGTATAAATTTAAATTCATTAACTAAATGAATAATATGGAGTTGATTAATGATTGAAAGTGATCTAGAGGGCCATTTTCTCAAATAGGGAAGTACTAAATGACCCTAACTTAAAATGCAACTTGATGCGGTCATGACTGCCCACTTATGAAAAAAAATTGAGCCAAATGACTCAACATTGACAGATGATAAATTACAATTATAATATATAGTTGTTCTCGTAGGCTAAAGGTTGTTAGAGTCAGAGTTAAGAAGAAATTAGAGATCAAAATATTACTTGTCCTTTATGGAGGCGTGGATTGGATAATTTTGAGTTGGCGAGCAATTAGAGTTGGGTGGGATATCCTTTATATTGAATAAGGAAGATGGACTAAGTAACATAGTTTTTTGTTCCTTAACTTTAAAGAATACCAAATAGGATAAAGCATGGCAGTCAAAATTCTAGTTTTTTTTTAATAATTCAGAAGTTTATAATTTTTAAATTTAAGAAAATTTGGATTAATTTATAGAGTTTGAGAGACATGTTTTAATCCTTTTGTAACATTATGCCAACATATTTTTATTATTATCACAATGGATGCACCATTTTATACCTTGTCTTTGTTAAAAACTGATTCAACACATGGGCTAATTTGATTGACGAAGGTACTTCAAGACATAGCTAGATAAACAACAAATCATCAATGATGATTTTTTGATAATGGTGTAATGATAGATGATAACCGTCATCACTAAAATCTTAAATCAGTGAATAAAATATATCACTATGCTTATTTTGATGTCTATATATTCAATAAAATTGAAAATATTAAATTGATGAGAGCAATCTAAAAAATTTCACTGATAAAGTTTAGGACCGTAAAAATAGCAAATATAAACTACTATTTTTATTTCAAGCTTTGTGTCTATATAAGATTCAATGTAAATGGTTATAAGCATAAGATGTGTCTTTTAAATATGCATAAGGAAGGAAGGAAGAGGGAAAAATTTAGCCTCTCATCATCCAGTTCAATAAAACTTGAGCTAGTTCAATTGAGTAGAAACCCAAATATTTGGTTTTTAATAAATTTAGTATTATTATAATTATTGCATATACTAGATTCCAAGCTAGTGGTTTTTTTTTAATTTTTTTTGGAAGTGTTTAGCCTACTTGACCACTTCTTATAAATCAAGGCGAAACTCTCACCAAGCCCATGAAAAAGGTTTTTTGCCTTTTGGTTATACAATTTATTCACACAGACCAACCAATGTTGTGCCCTTTACATTATCTTAGTTAACAATAGGATTCCTAAATTATGTTATGTTGTATTGTTAGTCTTTGTTCTTTATAAAAGATCTATGTAGTCTTAAATTTGCTTGAAATGGAAGAGATGTGTTAAATTCATTCAACAGCTCCTTTCCACCCCTATCTCTAGAGGTGTACATATTAAAATAATAAAAAATGTTTAATCTAATATGTTCTTATATATATACTTCATTGAAAATGTTAAATAATTAAAATTTATAGTAAGTAAAGTAATTATCTTTATTATAAAATTAAATTAATCAGGAATTTTGTTAGAGAGTTTATGTACAAGTTATTAAGTCATTATAATAAAGAAGTTTCTCTCCTAAACTTTGAACTAATAAGAGTAACTTAGTCTGGAAATCAAATTTTCTAGCATATTTAGATTTTTTTTATTATTTCAATGAAAATATATTTTCTTACCTAACAAAAGAAAAAAGCCACATTTATCTAATCTACTTAATTTACGTTTCATCTATCTTATTTATTATTTAATATTTTTTTCTCAATTATTGCAAAAGCTACTCAATTTACAAAAAAGATAATTATATTTATCTGTCATTAATAAAGTTTTATGATCAAGCACAAAACTCGATGCATTTTTACTAGAAATCTTCCAAATTCATATTCATGATCATCCAAGTTCCGATTTCATCAAATTTAAAATCAAATAGAGTGTCTCGAGAAGACGAATCTAATGGTTGAAATTGTTTCAATCCCAGTTCATTCAAGGCGAAATTGAACCGTTGCAGAATTGGAGACTTTGGATTAAAAAAAAAATGAGAAGTGAAATTTCACAACATAGTTTAGGGAAAAGAACTAACGAGTAACCACCTCTGTAACCGCCAGCCACCATTGACCCTTGGCCTCTAAGAACACATTCATATTTAGGGGTGTAAATTGTTCAGCCGTGTAAACGAATAGTTTGTTTGAAATAAGCTGATGTTTAAAATTGTTCGTGAAGTCACTGCTTGTGTTCGTTTCTGAATGAGTCGAACACGAGCTATTCGTGAACGACGAGTCAGTTTGACATCCCTAAAATTAATACATATAAATAATATAGTAGATTAATTATATAATTTATATTATATAAATATATAATATCTACATTAGTATATTACTAATATAATATATTAATATATTATTATTATTAATTTATTATATATTATAATTTATAAAATTTAATGTTTTAAAATATCATAAATTATATATATATAATTATTTTAAATTATTTTATATTTCGAACACGAACGAACGCATCACTATTCGTGTTTGATTCGTTTAACTAACCGAACGAAAAAAAAAATTTCACGTTCGTCTCGTTTACTTATCGAACGAATCGAACACGAACTCATTGATGAACCGAACACGAACTGTTCGCGAACAATGAGCTTTTTTGACAGCCCTATTCATATTATGTCTAGGATGGGCAATTGCCTTCCTCAAATTTATATTTTTATATATAAATAGAAAAATTTAATATTTATTTCTTATGTTGTCAAGTCAATTGAGTAATTTTGTCTACTCTTGAAATATTTTTTGGCCGAATACATAAAAAAAAGATATTTGATGATTTTGTCCGCACTAAAAAAAATAATGTTAGTTCGATCTCAGTCAAATTTTGTAGTAGTCGATCACTGTCGGCCATCATCTCATGTCATCACTTATCACTTATCGTCTACGACTGTTATTAAATTTGAGAAATTATGCAGAGGTAATTATTTCTTAAAGATAAATTTATGAAAACACTGGAGACATAAGAACATAATATTTATTCAACTGTAAGGAAAAAAAAATTCTATCAATTATTTCCCCAAACAAATCCTCAAATTAATTCTCACCAGCGTATGCATGATCGCTCCAAGAATTAAATTATTCAGAAAACTCCCAATAAATAAAAAAAACAAACTTTAACCTTTCTAGTTTCCACAACTCTGTACCCCTACGGGCCCTACCAACAGTCACAAGTCAAAGTCAGAGCCCTCCCGCCGGCGACGGATGAGCGCCCACGTCATCTCCAACTTCAATAGTAGACCTAACAACCGCCTCCAACGCCGCCGCAAAATTAGGATGCGCCATAATCGCCGCCGTCGCCGCATTTACCTTATCGGCAAGCAGTTTCTGCTCCCCTGAGGAGCCAACAGACATATGCGGCCCTGAGAACTTGGACTTGGTGCAGGGCGATTGGGTAATGCTTTGAGGAATGTGGAATAGAGAAGATTGGGGTTCATTGCACTGAAGATGGGTGGTGGGTTCGTGGGTGAGATCGAGGGTGATGGTGGGGAAAGGGGCGGAAGCGGAGATGGTGGCGAGGCTGATGGGGAAGGGAGCAATGGGGCGAACTTGCAAGTTGGGATTGACGATGGCGGCATCAGGGATCGGCATAGAACCGGAAAGGAGCATCGAGGCGGCGGCGGAGGTGGTGGAGGCCGTTGCCATGGCCGCCGGCGGGAGAGGGTGGTTGTGTTCACCTTCGTATGTGGTTATCAGAATCGTGCTGTCTTCGGCGCATCGCTGGACCTGCAGGAAATTAAAATTGACCGTTTTGGATCAACAAAAAAATTTAACTTTTAAATTTTTATTGACCAATTTGTTTAATCAACGAATAGTATTGTAAACAGTATATGAAGAAACAAAGGCATTCAAAATTAATGCAAGGAATTACTTGTTTACGAACAGGGCAGCCTCCAGTCATGGTACACCTGTAATATGCTCGAGGACAAGGACTTCCTTTGGACATCTTCTGCCCATATTTCCTCCACTGACATCCGTCCCTCATCTAAATATAATAAAAACTTCACTTTAATCAAATAAGGTTTCAAGACAACAAAACAGGGCTCAGGGAGGGGTTCGAAGATAATTACCACGGCGGCCTCACAGCGGGCTCGAACAGCAACGCGAGTTTTCCTCATGGTAGCCTCTTGCACTTGCATTGCCGAAGACAGCTTGGCATCTACTTTTGGGCGCCAATTTCCGCCAGGACTCAATTCTGAAATCATTTCTCCACCGCTTGTGCCAACGCATCTCTCATTTCCACCATGATCGGTATAACGAGCCTTCTTCAGAACAGAGTCCTGATCAGCTTCTTCTTTGAGGTTGCTCGCCGGCGATATCGGCCGCTTAAAGCCTACGCTCTCATTCGAGGAATCTCTATTCACCTCCTCCGCAGGCGCCATTAACCTAAGGCCAAGGTCTATGAACGGCCTAGCCACAATTGTTTCTCTTTCCTCTTGATTTATCGAGTCAATCATGACCTAAGGAATCAACGTTTATGTAACATAATAGTGATACGAACTACATTCATCTTAAAAGCTCTCGAATTTGAGAAAGTTATAATTACCCTGTGCTCCAGGTTGCTTCCATTTCTATTGTCATATTCATATTTCGCGGCAATGAATTGCTTTTGAAGAGAATTGTATTTGCTTTTCAGTTGGGAAAAAATGTTAGCAAGCCTCTGATTTTCTTTCTGCTTTCGCTCTATTTCGGCTTTCATTGCTGCCATCTGATCGATAACATTATCAAGTCAGTATGACACAAAATTTTAAGAAATCTTTAGAAGTGCAGATATACTATTCTCTTCTTTATTAGATATATTAAAGCACACGCAGTATTTTCGAGGCCAACCTCGCTCTCTTCATCAACATTGTTCTGCTCTGTCGTCGGTATCCCGACATCCACAATCGACTGCTCTGTCACGGAATAAAGTTGAAGCGCCGTCTGCATATAATAATGTTAATAATAACAATAAGAATAATAATGAACTCAGTCAAATAAATTACATTGATGGTAACGTCCTCCCCGACGATGCTAAGATTTGATGCATTGTCTTCTTGTTCATTCCTTGCCCTGCTCTTCTCCTTCTCGAAGAAGTCCATCTCCTCCACAACTCTCCGACCATCATCAGACGGCAAGTCTATTACCTCCTCTAACGGGCTGTTTAAGTCTAAAATAGACCCCCCGCTGTTTCCTCCTCCACATTTCTCCATATATATATCAACTGAGAAAGTAAAAGAGAAGAAAGGATTAGAATTTTGGCTGCTGTATTCTTTCTTCGTTCGATGTAAGTAAAGGAGAAGAAGGAATAGGAAGTCGGTTGCTGCAATCTCTCTTCGTCTGTTGTAATATAAGAGAGGAAAGGAAGACTGAATCCATGAATGAGGACTGCTTCTGGGGCCACGTGGCGGAAAGTATAAGGGGCTAGACTCCATTAATGGCGGGAAGAAGGCAGTAGAGGGAGTTATTCAAGCGGTGTTGGAAACGCCGAGCGATCGCAACGGTGAGCCGGGCGAGGAGGTCAAATCGGACCGACATTACCGCGGAGAGGATTGACATCGGGACTTGACTTTCTAAACCGGACCGGCCGGATTAGCCCTTGGGTCTGTTTACTCGCTCGTTCGTTAGAAGCCTGCACACGTGCAGGTATCAGCGTGATGAATGTGATTGAAACGTGGGTGGGCTGTGACAGCTTGATTGGAGCATGTTGACATGTGGAATGCTCAATCTGGGTCCGACGAACATTGTCTGATTTTTATGTTTTATTTATATAAAATAAATTAAAAGATTATTGAGTTTATTAGGGTTATTTTGTGTGTGTGTGTATTTTAATAAATTTTTTCCCTAGCTAGATTTTGCGTATATCATTTAAAGTGAACCGAGCTAAACTATTTTAGAAATTGCACAACAAAATTTCATTCATACTGATGCGACCCAGAAAGTTTAGAAGGAATTATCATCTTCGTGCTGCACGGAAACCCGACACATTCTCAGATAAGCCCATCGCTGGAAGTGTCATCAAAATTTTGCTCCTGTGCGCTTGGATCTCAGCTTCTTATTCTCCCCTTATAAACCAACACTTGATTGAAAAACTTGCAAAGTCTTCACACTTTAATCAAGATTTGCCCGTGTCTACCTTATATCTTATATCGTCTTAAGTATCTATCAATTCTCAAATATTCACCGTTGCACCCTGCTAGTTTCGCTATAGTCGCCCACCGTAGTCTGCTGCTGATGTAAGACTTCATGTTTTCCCTATTTTTTACAAATTTTCATTATTTGATAATTTTCAGAAAAGCAAGCAAAATCATTGAAAACATTGAGGGGTAACAAATGGTTCGTCAATTATTTTATTATTCAACACAATTCTCGAGACACGTAGAACGAACCTCAAAGAATTTCTTAACGAGAAATATTCAAACAAATTAAAAATTAACCATCACTCAAATTATAGTAAACTTGTAGTCAAGCAAACTGGCTCGACAAGATGGATCGAATGACACAAAAATTGACAAAATTGGAGTCAAATTAAGATCACAAGTTAGTAAACCACTTTTAGAAAATTTGGGTGACTAATTAAAAGGTTGAATAGATTCCAAATCAGACAGACTTATATTCAAATCGAGTGTCTCAACAAGACGAGTATAATGAGCTCTAGATCATTAAGTTTCGACATCAATAAAACATTTTAATGTCCACAAAACCTCGTCTAATCAGGAGAATCTATCGAGGTAGTCTGATGGAGTAGTCCAGGTTTTTTATTCATATGGAGGCTACTCCGAGACTCTATAAGTAGAGTCTCACTCATCTCTGGAAAGAGAGAGATCGAGAGTTTTGATCGGAAAAATGAGTGAAATTCTATTATTTTTCTAGTCCGAAGACCTGACAAACATTTATTGCTCCCACACTTATCAACTGTCATCAACCACTGATCATCAATTGTTGTCAACCTTTGTTGTCATCCGCTGACACACTGACATCGATGAATATTATGGTATAATGATACACTCTAAAAAACACAAAGTTGATTTTATATTTTATGATTCACTGACATCGTTGAATTATTTTTTTCTGAGTTGAAACTTTTGATTTTTTTTTTCTCTTTCTATATTTTTAGACCCAAAAAATTATGATTTCTCCTTTATATATAATTTTAGACCCAAAAAAATTATGGTTTCTTTTTCTATTTTTTTAGACCTTACAATATTTTTAGCTCGACAGACATTTTCTCATGTATCTAATCTTCCAAATATTTTGAGTTAACATGCTTTGTTAAGAATTACAATAGGAAATTATTTATTCCTATAATAAGTTATGAGAAATAAATTATTTCCTTAATATAGGTTGAAACTTTCTTTCCTAATTTATATTTATTTCCTTGGACTATGAATCATTTGTTTCCCTATTTTATGTTATTTCCTATATCTCCTAATAATTATTATGAATTAACTATTGGAGATATTAGGTGATATATCTTTTTTTTTATTATTTTTCCTATTACATAATTTTTGTAAGGGTTATTTATTCCCCCGTTCATATCAATGAAACAATATGAAGTATTTCACTTTATTTCGCATTATTCTGAATTTCAGCATGGTATCAGAGCAAAGTTTCATATTCTAGCCATCGACCTTCCGTTGAGAATTGTCGGACTCCCTTCCTGCCATCCTCTGTGCGGGAAGGGAGGGGCACTCATCTTGGTGTTTAAAACAAATATTTTTTCTCCTTCTCTCCTTGCAAGCTTTGTCTGCTGGCCAGCCCTTCTTGAACCGAAAGTCATGTGACCTACCCGTTTTATTCTGCTCCTCCTCAGCCTCGCCTTACCAAGTTGGGATCGAGCACAGATCTCACACGTGTGCGGGGATGCACCCTTATCACTAGGATGTGGTTGGGGTTGCTCGTTGAGGAAGAGCACTCTGGCGCTGTTGATTACATACGCCTGAACTCCCCCGATCTCAAGAACCTTTCGAATCTCCGCCACATGAACCACATCGTGGTAAAACAACCGTCGTATCTAAATCACGCGATGCCCGACATGTCGCTTCAAGCGACAATAGAGGCAGAATGCACTAGAGTCGGCGTCCCCGCAGTCGAGACAGAACATGTTGTGTTCATTGCATGCGACGTCCGCATGAGTCGAGTAAATCGAGCAGGGGGTCGTGAGCAAGGGCTCCACCAGCGATGCCGCCACTCGCCTCACCGTCGTCTCGCCGGAGATATCGTTGTTGTCGATCAGACAATGCCGGCAAAATCCATCTTTGTCCCTTTCTCCTGCAATAGTTTTTTCTTCTCTGACCCAAGCTTCAAGGGGAAATGTATTTCTAGGCGCTTTTCTCCTTCTTCCGCATCCAACGACAACCGCGATCAACTAAAAGTTAGTTTTCCTGTAGGTTGTTTTTTTCCCTGCAAAACTCAAAATTCAGCCAAGCATGAATCCAACAAATTCAGCCAAGTCTGAATATCTCTTCTACGTCGAAACATATGACAGACAAAACTCAAAATTCAGTCAAATTTGAATTTAGCAAATTCAGCCAAGTCTGAATCTTTTTTTAACGCTGAAACATATGACAGACAAAACTCAAAATTCAGTCAAGCATGAATCTAGCAAATTCGATAATCAAAACGACCTATTTTTCTTCACTTCTCAGCAAGTTACGAATTATTAACACACATTCCAAACTTGAGGGGGAGTTTTAAGAATTATAATAGGAAATAATTTATTCCTATAAGAAGTTACGATGAATAAATTATTTTCTTAATATAAGTAGATATTTTCTTTCTTAATTTATATTTATTTCCTTGGAATAGGAATCATTTGTTTCCCTATTTTATGTTATTTCCTATATCTCCTAATAATTATTATGAATTAACTATTGGAGATATTAGGTGATATATCTTTTTTTTTATTATTTTTCCTATTACATAATTTTTGTAAGGGTTATTTATTCCCCCGTTCATATCAATGAAACAATATGAAGTATTTCACTTTATTTCGCATTATTCTGAATTTCAGCATGGTATCAGAGCAAAGTTTCATATTCTAGCCATCGACCTTCCGTTGAGAATTGTCGGACTCCCTTCCTGCCATCCTCTGTGCGGGAAGGGAGGGGCACTCATCTTGGTGTTTAAAACAAATATTTTTTCTCCTTCTCTCCTTGCAAGCTTTGTCTGCTGGCCAGCCCTTCTTGAACCGAAAGTCATGTGACCTACCCGTTTTATTCTGCTCCTCCTCAGCCTCGCCTTACCAAGTTGGGATCGAGCACAGATCTCACACGTGTGCGGGGATGCACCCTTATCACTAGGATGTGGTTGGGGTTGCTCGTTGAGGAAGAGCACTCTGGCGCTGTTGATTACATACGCCTGAACTCCCCCGATCTCAAGAACCTTTCGAATCTCCGCCACATGAACCACATCGTGGTAAAACAACCGTCGTATCTAAATCACGCGATGCCCGACATGTCGCTTCAAGCGACAATAGAGGCAGAATGCACTAGAGTCGGCGTCCCCGCAGTCGAGACAGAACATGTTGTGTTCATTGCATGCGACGTCCGCATGAGTCGAGTAAATCGAGCAGGGGGTCGTGAGCAAGGGCTCCACCAGCGATGCCGCCACTCGCCTCACCGTCGTCTCGCCGGAGATATCGTTGTTGTCGATCAGACAATGCCGGCAAAATCCATCTTTGTCCCTTTCTCCTGCAATAGTTTTTTCTTCTCTGACCCAAGCTTCAAGGGGAAATGTATTTCTAGGCGCTTTTCTCCTTCTGCTTTCTCTGTCAGCAGAATTATTGGGTGTGATTTACATTTTTTTTTTTGCAGCTAACGACAACCGCCGTTAAGTAAAAGTCAGTTTTCCTGTAGGTTGTCTCTTTCTCTGCAAAACTCAAAATTCAGCCAAGCATGAATCCAACAAATTCAGCCAAGTCTGAATATCTCTTCTACGTCGAAACATATGACAGACAAAACTCAAAATTCAGTCAAATTTGAATTTAGCAAATTCAGCCAAGTCTGAATCTTTTTTTAACGCTGAAACATATGACAGACAAAACTCAAAATTCAGTCAAGCATGAATCTAGCAAATTCGATAATCAAAACGACCTATTTTTCTTCACTTCTCAGCAAGTTACGAATTATTAACACACATTCCAAACTTGAGGGGGAGTTTTAAGAATTATAATAGGAAATAATTTATTCCTATAAGAAGTTACGATGAATAAATTATTTTCTTAATATAAGTAGATATTTTCTTTCTTAATTTATATTTATTTCCTTGGAATAGGAATCATTTGTTTCCCTATTTTATGTTTTTTCCTTTATCTCCTAATAATTAATATGAATTAATTATTGGAGATATTAGGTGATATATTTTTTCTTTCATATTGTTTCCTTTTTATTATTTTTCCTATTACAGAATTCTTGTAAGAGTTATTTATTCCCCCTTTCATATCAATGAAACAAAATGAGGTATTCCACTTTATTCCGCATTATTTTAAATTTTAACATGTTTTATTTTGACACTGTCTGTTGAGCTAAAGATGATTTAAGGAGTTCATTAAGAAATTCCTAGTACACTAGCATTCATTATTGCTGGAAATTTGAATTACATAATAAAATAAAAATGCTAATTCGTTATTAATGACTGCGAGAAAGAAACTCAGAAAATTTTCTACACAAAATTAACTTCAATGATTTTGGTGCAATTTATATGTTTTGTCCAATCCGACGACCTCCTCATAAAGTTATGAAGATCAGTTGAGAAATTTAAGCATAAAACATAATTTTTGTTTTTTTTTTGAAGAAAAATTATACATCAAAACTTAAAATAATTTTTTATTTACCAATATATATTCATTTCAAGTCATTCTAGCATTCCCACTTAAATAATTTCAGAAATTGAGAAAAGCTAGTTATTTCATATATAAAGATAAACTAAAGAAAAAATTATAAGAAAAAATTTTCCCCAAGCAATTCCCAAATTAAATCTCACTCAGCACTCACCAAGAAATAAATTATTCAGAAGACCAAAAAATAAAAAAAATAAAAAAAATATTTAAAGCTAATTAATTTCCTAAATCTGCATTTCAACTAACAATCAGGAACAGCCGCCGGCAACGAATGAACGCCCCCTTCATCTCCAACTTCAAGTATATAACTAACCACCACCGCCACTACTTCATAGATTACAAATTTGCATCAGACTAACTTTTTGATATATCATAACCCTCACCAACCATTTTTGCAAACTATAAACTTGAATCACAACTAATTCTTTGTACTACATAATTCTCAAAGGTTTTTTTTGAATGTTATGGACCTGCATCCCCACTACCAGCAACCCTCACCATCAATTTTGTGGACTTAATACCTTCGTTGAAGCTTAGTTGCAGTGATGATATATTTACATCATCATTTGATACAATGGACTTACATTATAGCAATCTTGGGTAAATTTCAACTCCTGCCATTTATACCATGCGGTCCTATAACTTTTGATCAAGTTGTCAGTGCCTATATCAAAAACATTGACAACCATTCTACGCATAATATTATTATACTGCTTGCTAATAATGATAATGATTGAGTTACCTGAAATCACATTAAAACTATATTACTCTTGTCTTTACCGACTTATAATTATAATAATAGTATAAAATATGTTAAACATGATATTTATGATCATGACATTTGCTAGAAGCTAAAAATCAAACAACTGATCTCTAGCTTCCATTGTCAAATGTCTTTATGCCTTCATAACGGTGTGCTAATATTTCACAAATGATGAATGATATTTGTGGCATCTATTAGCACCAAAACATTAATTGCCTCACTTCCCTACTTATATATTGTCATGCAAATATTATAGTGATGATAGTACATCACATGATACTAACAATCATGTTTCTCAGAATCACCAGAAAATATGATTTTTTTCTTCAATACGTAGGCTTTCTATTATTTTATAGCAATATCAGATATAGTACTACATTTATGCAATAATATGGTGTTTCCACAACAAAAGAATGAGCAATATTCATCTCTTATCTACAATTGCTCTACAACCATAATAGCAATCACTAAAGAAAAGAATAAAATAGTTGCATAATTTATCATTGCAATTTTTTCAACTTATAAATTCCTCCAAAATTTCATGCTATTCCTTTCAAATGATATTTTCACTTATAATATTTGTTTTTAGTGGATTAGCTAGCAAAATTTTCATCAAATATCTTATTACCAATGAATAAAAATTCGCTAGCTATCTCTAAAAAATTATATTCCAAAGAATTTTTTTTGCTAAAAAATTTACTTATAGATTATTGTTTGAGTTTGATGTCTAAAGAATACATGCCAAATTCATTCATCATAAATTTCATTCAAATTATGTTACAAATGAGATCATCAATATATAAATGCAAATTAATGTATATTCTCATCATCTTTGAATTTATGATTGAGTGTGTTCAGAAAGAACTTTAAGAAAACTTTTCTTAGTAAAATAAGCAGTAGATAGTTGTACAAAGCTCTTGGTGTAACTATGCATGCCTGTATCTCATTACTTTTCTTTACGTTTCCTCTTGTGCAAGAGAGAACTCACCTATACACCTGCTGAATTATTGAAGTACACGACTGCCAAAAACAAGTAGAGCAAAATGAGCTATGGCATTGCATTGCCTACTTAAGGATTTGGGAGCCTTTACAATAATAACTCTCAAATCTTTAATTGGCTAAAAAATATCACCATTACTTACTTTTAAAAAATAAATTACACTTTTAATGTATAGATTTTTAACTCCTAGGTGTTGTATATATACATATGACATCATGCATGTTAATTTCTCTAGAAACTTTGCTTTTATTTCCACCCTTTGGAAATAAATTATATATTAAAAATTTTAATAGCAAATATTTAGCTGATTTTTTTTCTTTTCATCAATCAATTGTATAAATGTATTCTAACGTAGTTTTTGTTTATGCAGCTAGAAAAAACCAACCCATATATTTGGTTTACCTTCAAAACTTCAAGGAAGACTCGATTGGCCTTTTAAGAAATTTCATGTAATAATCTTATTACTATATTCACTTACATTAATCATCATAATCAGCTCTTTCCATTTTGTAACTAAAAAAATAACATTTTTTTTTTATTCCAAAATATCTATGAATTTTTAGTTTTAAATTGTTAAGAAGATAAGAACACGAACACGGACACGAACACAACACAAAATCATACAACATAATTATGTCAAATTATCATCCTTCTCAAGGGATAATTTAAGGTTCTCAATGACCTCAGAAAGTAAAAATGTGAACAAGAACAGATTTACAATCCTTATTTCGCAGCACTGACATTGGCGAGGGAACAATGCCTTCCTTTATCTCTCGTCTTCGATGCATCTTTATAAGTATATTATTATGAAGCATTTGAATCTTACGCAGCTTTGGCAAATCCAACCCTAAGGTTGCCATAGTCAAACTCTGTGTGATAGACACCCATGAATACATCACCCAGAATCCTGTACCCAAATCAGAACATAGGAGCTTAGTAACCCAAAGTAAACCAAATAATTTCCTGAATCAATCGATAAAAAATATAAAAGAAAAGTCCAGTTAGTTTTCAGTTTGAACCAAAGCGAATTGTTGCATGCATAATGTATCCATACTTTATAAAATACCTTTTCATTATTATTATGTGTGTTTAAACATAATCAAATTTATATGACCTGTGGTTCAGTTTTCATTCTTTCTAAGTTTGGTTTTGAAATATTTGAAGCCAAATTAAATCATAATAACATCTAACATGCAGAGAGAAGAGTGGTAGATAAGGAACGTACCAAAGTGGGCCACGAGGAGGGGGTACGTCCAAGGCTGAGAATCCACTGATGCATTGGGCATCAGCTCCACTTCCCACCTTCAGAATATACTGAAAAGAAAAAAAATGCTCACTGCATTAGAATCCTGACAGAAGTAATTCAAGTAGCAAATTTTTGCACATCAAACAAATTAAGAAAAAAAAAAATCGAGAGAGAAATTTTTACTGCCATAACTGATGCTGATCTTGTAAAAAAGCATTAGTTAATAATGGCTCAGTGCATGTAAATAATGTCAAAATATAGGACTACCTGCTCAGCTGTAAGGTCAAATATCTTGCCGCCGATAGTGAAGGAAACACTAGGCATGGAAGAAATGGCATTACAATCAACAGAGGACTCTCTCAAGGGACTCGGCACTCGGTAGCACAACTGCATTTTCCCAAAAAAAATCATAAGCCTAAACAGCGCGAAAAAAAATGTAGAAAATAATCGGGAAGAACTTTCACCTGATTGACATGCTTCAATATGAGTTCCTCTGTCTCATTATGATTTAGCCGATTTTGCATCCAAACAACAGCCATCTCGCAAGCTGAACACATGGCATCACTCCTACCAAGGGAGGATTTACCTCCATTTTCCTCAACCACACTCTCAATGCCAACACTTCATTGAATAAAATTTATCAGACTATAAAAAATAAAACAACGAAGATATGTTCTAAAGAGCATGCAAGATGTTGATTTCTCACCCTATTGCATGGGTCCCATCGAAAATACAGAGATCAATCTGAGAGCATATCTTATTTGGTTGTGCCTGCAATGTAAGTCAATATTATAGCATATTAGCTTGCAACCATGTAACCTGAGGTAGGTTAAATAAGCAATAGGTGAATTTGTAGCTGAAATAAGATCATTTATTCATACTTCTTCCAGCAACATATCTAAAATTTGTTGGCCATATTGAGCAACTACTATCTTGCATTCTTGGCTAACAATACCAGCAGCTCCAATCCTTTGGTTAATTTCAGTAATAACTGTCTGTATAAAAGCAAACCAAGTCAGTATACTAGAGTACCTCCAACACATTTTGAGAAGGGGGCCTATAATAACATTCATTAAGATATGACAGAACAATTTCCAAAATTAATAAACATAACTTCACTCAAATAGGCTCACATGTAAAAATGCATGAGCAGGCACCCACATTTTAAGATACATGCAAGCATGCATGCAGGCAAAACTATGTCTTTGGAATAGATGTAAATTAGTCTTGTGGATAAATAAAGAATCCTTGAATCAGATGAAATGTTAATGGTTAGGAAAAGTGGCAGTTTGAGTAACAAAACTAAGATAAAAACTAAAAGAAACATAATAGGCCTAGATGAGTGAAACCAAAAGAGTACCAAAGAAAATTATGTGATTTGACGAGATTCACCCATTTCTGGTCACACAGAAAGATTGTCCACTAATTCTAGAATTTATTATGAGTAAGAAATTTGGACGTTCAAATAAATATTATTCACACTTCATCCTTCTGATTTTTTCTTTCATATTGTTGTTTTTTTTCTCCAAGTAACAATAGTTAGTCAAAACGTGTAACAACCTGTATTTGACCCATTTCCAAATCGAACTGGCCCAATGTGAACATTTCCTGCAGTCTCTCAATCCTTCTTATATCATTGAATCATGACCGTAGAGTGTTGAGTAAAAGAGAATAATTGGGTGAAATGCGAGGAAGGAAAGAGCGGGAAGCAAGAGAGCATGGCTGAATTGGTACATAACAAGGAGCATGTGAATTCATTTCCAAGCACTTGAGCTATGCCAAAAGAGAGGAATGTGACGCGACGTCGATTGAGATTTCATGGAGATGGGATGCGACAGTCAAGCATTCAAAAGCGATCTTCCAAGCATGCTGATAGCTGTCAATCACTTGGGGTATGCCAAAGGTTGGTATCATGATCAAAATGTTAGGTTACTTACGATATCGATCTTGTAGGAGACTCTTTATTGGTTAAGGAATAAACAAGCTTCCTCATTAAGGGTGTAATTCTTTACACTTATTTTCATATTTTTATTCTCAATAATATATTTGAAAATTGATTTATTTGCTCAATATTTAACATGATTATTAGTGGTATGATGTGGTAGGTCACTTTAACATTTATTTGTTACATAAATTCCTATAAAATGTAAGTAAATTATTTTGATTGCTGAAAAATATGTGGTTTACAGAAATTATAAACTATATTGATATATAATAAATTTCATCTATACTAACTATTAAGTTTTCATTTTAAATGTTTATTATAATATAAATTGAATATAAAATTGAGATAATATATATGTGTATAATATATGCATTGTCGATATATTTTTTATAATATTGACCAGCTAGACTAACGAACCCATAGAATGATCACTTTTTCAAAAAATAATTAAATTTTCATATCATTAATGCCTACATTTTCTAGTTTTAGAGTGACATAATAAACCGATTATAGACATATATGAAAAAATAAAAAGAAAATGATGAATATTTGATGAGTATTTATAGATGTATAAATACAATATAAATATAAGTTGATATTCTTGTATTTGGATACAATAATTATTAGTTAGCAAAGGAAATTATTTATGAACTCTGTTATTCTGATAAGCACTATTAAATAGTTCTCATATTTGAATTTTGAAAATCTAGTATTTTATACATTTCCTATAACCATTGTGGTATAATATCAAATTTTAGTCGTACCATTTTCTATGCTCATATTTATGTCATGTGCCTTGCAATTGTTACTTGGTGGACCTCACCTACTAAGGTTGTTTATTGCGAACTCACTTCAATTATTTTATAACTTTTTAGGTTTAACTTGTGAATCATTTAGGATAGAATTTCAAAACCTTTATTTCACGTATGCTGTGAAGGTGATTAAGGTTAGATAATTTAGTTGATTTCATAAGAAAATTATTTCTATGATGAATTATTACACCAGTTAAATTTTAATTATTTGTAGTAGATAAATTAGCAGGTCATATTAAATTTAGATGCTCTGATAATTTTATTGGTGAAAAAATAAACTTGAAATCATATGTTGATATTCTTTAAAATTATTTCTTAATATTGATCTCACCTCTTCCTGTTAGGTTTCTAAGTTTCTTTCCAAGCCTGGTGGTCAAGGTTTGACAAAAAAACAAAAGAAAATCCATAAAAATGAATAATACAATATCATATTTAATATCTTCCCAATTTTTAATCATCGGAAGCCTTGTCTAATAACTCAATTTACAACCATTTTCTGACAGTTATCTTTGCTATTAGTAGAATTAATGCAAAAACTATTCCTTAGTTAACATCAAGCAAGTTAGATGCATGGTCGCTCTCCCAATTGTAGGGGATTTCTCCTTTTAGGTGGGAACCGAATCAAAGTCATATATATGTGCAAACAATTCACAAACATAAATGTGTTTGCGCAAAGAGAAACTTTAAGAAAAGCAACATCAAATTAACGATATTAATAAAAAATATCAAAAGAAGCCCGAGTAAAACTAGGGGAACAAAGTAAAAAACTAGTCAGCTACGCTACAGATTTGTAATACTTACTGTTGGTCCAGCGATTAAAGAAGTGCCAGAATCAGCTATAGCTGCACAACTACCAGAACAGAATCCTGGCAATCCAAATGAAGAATCAGATAGAAAAAGAAAGTGGATTCACTATATCGGATGGATTAAAAGCACATTGCACCAGAAATAGAAGAATTTGAGAAAATAGGGAGTTTGACTGCCTACCAGTACTTTCACCACCAATAAGAACATCTCCCATATTAAACTGCAACACACAATATCAGAAATTTGGTAGTTTAGTAGGGGCAATGATTAGCAAGAAAACAATACACGCATGAATTATCACCATCACTGGCCTCATCCAGAAAAAGGGGAATTTTACATACCTAGCAAACAATTCTTATGTATTTACATATCTCACACCTAAACTTTTATATTTACATACGTAGCAATTTTGTGCTTTAAATTGTGCATGAAAATGTGTATCTCACTTTTAAAAAGTGGAAATAGCGTTATTTATGTGATATCAATCATTTGAGTATTATGTGTGTAAATATGAAAGTTTAGGTGTGAGATATGTAATATATTAGAATTGTGTGCTATTTATGCAAATGCCACTCAAAAAAATCACATTAATAAGAAATTGAATTTTAAATTCAAAATGAAATAGGCAACTAAAACCTCAACCTGCCAGTATCCCTTGAGAGTCACTGGGACATATGTGTGCTGACCTATGTAATGTTTTGGATCAGAACCTCCAAACACTATTTCACCTCCATCACCATCCTCTGAGTTCCTATTTAACCAGAAAGAAAAAATAGGATCCTCGATGAGACCATGATCGACCATGTTGTACCTGCATGGAATTATTCAAGTTGGTCAAAAATTATTATCACCTTTCAAACAACATAAGACACAAAAATGGCATAACTCGTGTCAGTTGTGTGCATAGCACCATTTCACCCTTCCTGGAATCTTGTGCAATCCTTGTTGATGAAAGATTACTAAGATATATATCTACAAGTGAACAGAATCTTTCATGCCAGCCCTTTCTAATATTCCGCAAAGCTCTCCCTCAAATAGAGAGTTGGGTCTACTCGGTTAGCCTAAGTAAAATCCCATTGAACAGAAATTATTTTTTGAGTATTTGGATGACTTAATGATATCGGAATAACATGATCTTGGGCTCGTTAGATTAGTCTCATTGAAATGCAAAATTTGACTATAAACATGCCAAGATTTGGAGACAATTTGGTCCCTCAATCAAGCCTGAAAGTTTTTAAATATATACAGAGTGCTTAATCAAAACTCATTTGAACTCGAATAAGATTACTTCATATGTTGTTAGTCAATTATCATTAAGACGTTTATTTTGATTATGAAGTTGCTAAAATCCGAACATAGGTGATCATGAATTTAACTCTTAATGTTATCCAGCTCAATAAGAAGTGAGATTCATGCTCAATAAATCAAGTTTGTTGGTAATGTATCAGTTGGCAAACTTTAAAATTTGATCTTTAATGTGTTCCCGTGTCTTTTTTTTAATCTTGCCATAAATTTGCAATAATAAATCATAAATCCTAGGACCAACTCCTCACCTACTCAGCATTATATCTTGTAGCAGGCTGAAAAAGACCTAATGAATGATCAAAAATAGACAAAAGCAGCATGACCAATCCCAAACTTCACGTTTCTCATTCCATTAAGGAATGAACTAGGCCACCACAACTGTCTCTGAAGGAGAGTAGAGTTGTACACGGCAGGGTATGAAAACATGTCATATACGCTCTACTTCCCATACTAGAAACCATGAACTTAGTTATTGGCACCATTAAACATAGTTCATAATTGCGGTTAGTGCTCTGGGAGCAGATAGAGCCGCCCTTTAGCAACGCAATCCTGCGTGTGATGTTCAGAAGTGATCATTTTATTTAGTGGAGATGACACTACCAAACATTGAGCAATTTTAATGGATTACAATAAATCAAATTCTAACAATCTTCACTAAATGCATTCTCACGCTCCATGAAGTAACTCGAAGAAAAACCAAGCTAATCAAAGCCAGAAACTAATAAGCTTACCATACTGGTACCACATTGTCAACTGATATTTCTTTAAAACCAAGACCAAGTATTCCGTCAAATTTTGCCACCAAGAAAGTGGTACCAGGTTCCTTGGTGGCCTCAATAAAAACCTGAGAAAATCGTTTACATCAATATCTCCTCCATGGAAATAGTCATATTTACCTACAAATTACTAAAGATTTCTACACTACAAACCTGATCTTTCACGAGAAGATCACCAACGCCAACATGATCCTGACTCAGGAAACCTGCAATGGCTCCAGTCCCATACTGAATAGCAGCAGATTTCCCTGATCAGACACACGAGAGAAAATCATAAAAAGAGATTATAAGAGGGGTCTTTAAATGAGAGAATCACGCAGCTATAGAAAGAACAAATAATACACAAAGAAGGTTTAAAATCTAATATTTTGAATGCATCAATTAGCTGATAGGGAAAGTAAGAAAAGGAGGTTTGAAGAGGTGAATCAAAAAAAGTAAAAAATCACCAATGCGAACAAGATCATTCAAGCATCCTAAGCTAATCCTCATTGATCATAAATTCATGTTAAAAATCACTATGTATGCATTAAAAATGAATAAATTCTATAACTCAAACAATCAATTATCTTGATTACTAATGTCAGGGGAGCTTCTATCAAGAATAAATTATATTTTCTTAAATAAAAAGAAGTAACAGATTCATTTGAAATAGTTAATCAATGTTGACACAAATTTATGAAAATTAAACCAAGAATAGAAAGTCCTATCAAAATTGTCACAATCATGTATAATAAGTCGACATTCAAGGATCATGTCTCTCGACAAACAGAAAAGTTTGATGCATACAGACTTAGAAGCTGCAGTAAAAAATTGCTATTTTAGCTATTAAGAAATTCTTATTAGAAAAGAAAGTTCACCAACCCGAGGGCAATTACTATTAAGTATAAAATAATAGCAAAAAAGATCAAGTACTACAAAAGATGACACAAAAAATTATGGGGTTTGGTTCAAGTAAGTGTCTCACTAAGATCAATAATCCACCAAGTTTTCAGAATAGGGATAAAGGTACCACTTTACTTAAAAGAAAGATAATGCAATCACATACTACAAAATGAGAATTAGATGTAGAGAGGGAGATATTGTTGTTCCAATTACTTTCCTCTCCTCTGTTATAAGATTCCAAACAAGAACTATGCTTTACTATGACATGTTGACCTCATTTTTGGTGAAGTCTCTTACTCTTCTTAGAGCCTAGAATCTAGACTTAGGGATTCTTACCGACTTTCTTAGAGGACTAGTCTGACGTCCACACCGATTAGAAATTCGAGTCACTTCTTGACTCCTCGCAGTTTCATGTGACTGGTTCTAAAATACTCAATGCTTAATTGAGTCGATTAAGACCAGCACGACGAAACTCGAGTCGAGTACCCTTAGGATCTGAAACCATAAGAAAGCCCATTGCGACTCCCGCGTGCTTGCACGATGCACGAATACCACAATGCACACGTCGACGCGCACAATTATCGAGATTCACACCACCTGCACCTGTAAGAGGCTCTACGACCGATCACGACCGAGAATTTTAAAGAAATTTGAATTTGACGTGTTTTTGACCCGACTGTCGACGAAGTTGTCCAGACGGCCCTGGATGATGAAACGGACTGCACTGGTGCGTCCAGAACGTCGAATTTAGCTGGGGACGACACTCATTTTGATATGTTTGGGGTCGAATCGTGTGCGAATTGGGGAAATTTTGAATATATTATATTATTATATATATTAATATTAATATAAAGATATAGAGATAGATGAGAGAGGGCGTGGGTGTAATTTGCCCTAAATCCCCAATTTTCCTCTGCATTCGGATCGTCTCCCCTTCCCAGTCGCGAGCCGAGCCCCGTCACGAGGGTTGACTCATTTTCCCTCTCGACATTCTTTGCCCGAGGCGTTTCTTCCCGAAGCTCCTTCTGCTTCGTTTTGCTGTGTGGGAAGCTCTTTCGGAGAGGTTGACTCTGGTGCTCTTGTTCCCTGGGTCACGAATGCGGCAATTTCCTTCCTTCCCGATGGTTTTTCACTCTGCGCCTCTGCCTGCGATTGTTGGTTTCTTGTTGGGACGAGCGCTGGGTTGGCCTCACCCTCGGGTAGTTTCCTTGCTCTTCTCCCCTCTCTTCTGCGTCTATAAAAGGCTGGTGGGGGTGTCTTGCGGTGAGGTGACGAAAATTGCGAATTTGGGGGAGACTCTGCCGAATTTGTTTCTGGTACCTGTGAGCCTAGTGTTTGGGAAGTCTTAAGGTTTTTCTTTTCTTGTTTGCAAAATCTCGAGTGAGGTACATTTCTCATTTTTCTATGGTTTCTTCTCTACTCGACATAGGTTGGACGTGGGCTTGAGCAAGTTTCTTCTTTTCTAAAAAAAGCATAATATATGTATATATATATGTGTGTGTGTGTGTGTGTGTGTGTGTGTATATGCATATATGCATATGTAGGGAGTTGTTTGCCTTAGCTGGTATCTCATTATATATATGTAAGGAGTTGTTTGCCTTAGCTGGTACCTCATGTTAAGCTTGCTATCAGTTGCTAGGCCTTAAGAGATCCAGTTGGGTCTGTTTTAAATGTTTCATATTGTTTAGCTAAGGATGTTAGGCTTGCAAAAGGCATGGTTCAGCTCATACCTATGTACAAGTTATATATATGTAAGGAGTTGTTTGCCTTAGCTGGTACCTCATGTTAAGCTTGCTATCAGTTGCTAGGCCTTAAGAGATCCAGTTGGGTCTGTTTTAAATGTTTCATATTGTTTAGCTAAGGATGTTAGGCTTGCAAAAGGCATGGTTCAGCTCATACCTATGTACAAGTTTTCTTTTCTTGTTTGCAAAATCTCGAGTGAGGTACATTTCTCATTTTTCTATGCTTTCTTCTCTACTCGACATAGGTTGGACGTGGGCTTGAGCAAGTTTCTTCTTTTCTAAAAAAAGCATAATATATGTATATATATATGTGTGTGTGTGTGTGTGTGTGTGTGTGTATATGCATATATGCATATGTAGGGAGTTGTTTGCCTTAGCTGGTATCTCATGTTAAGCTTGCTATCCTTTAGAGATCCAGTTGGGTCTGTTTTAAATGTTTCATATTGTTTAGCTAAGGATGTTAGGCTTGCAAAAGGCATGGTTCAGCTCATACCTATGTACAAGTCTTAAGGTTTTTCTTTTCTTGTTTGCAAAATCTCGAGTGAGGTACATTTCTCATTTTTCTATGGTTTCTTCTCTACTCGACATAGGTTGGACGTGGGCTTGAGCAAGTTTCTTCTTTTCTAAAAAAAGCATAATATATGTATATATATATGTGTGTGTGTGTGTGTGTGTGTGTGTGTATATGCATATATGCATATGTAGGGAGTTGTTTGCCTTAGCTGGTATCTCATGTTAAGCTTGCTATCCTTTAGAGATCCAGTTGGGTCTGTTTTAAATGTTTCATATTGTTTAGCTAAGGATGTTAGGCTTGCAAAAGGCATGGTTCAGCTCATACGTATGTACAAGTTTTCTTCTTGTGTTCTTGTTACATCTATACCTTGACAATGAGACTTGAGGGCTGTTTTAGCCTTCTGGGCTGAGGTTTTCATTGTTGTGCTGGTTCGACATTGGGGCTTGAGGGTTTTTTTAGCCTCCTGGGCTGCGGTTCTTTTTTTTACTGTGCTGGTATATTGAAATTTCAGGAAGTGTTTTAGCCTCTTGGGTTGCAGTTTTCTTTGTTGTGTTGGTTTAAGGTTGAGGTTTTTGAAACTTGTTTTGGGGGGCTTGGTTTTGTTCCCTGTTGCTGCCTCCCTATTTAAAATATATGTTGAATGTAATATTTGATTTTTGGAGGCCTTTGGAACTTGTTTTGAGGGCTTGATTTTGTTCCCCACCGCCTCCCTCTTCGAAATCTATGCAGGATGTAATATTTGATTTTTGGAGGCCTTTATAACATGTTTTGGGGGCTTGATTTTCTTCCCTGCTGCCTTCCTATTCGAAACCTATGCAGGATGTAATGTTTGGCTTTTAGAGGCTTTTGGAACTTCTTTTGGGGGCTTGATTTCGTTCCCAGTTGTTGCCTCCCTATTCGAAACATTTGCAGAATGAAATAATTGAGTTCTTGGAGCCATTTGGAGTTTGCTTTGGGGTCTCGGTTCTGCTCTCCTGCTATTGGAAATATGAATGCATGGTTTCTCTTTTGTTTCAAGACTTTTGGAGAGTTTTGTGTTGGTTTGGTGGCTTCCTTGCTGCCTCTACCCGTGAGCTTGTTGGTTGGTGGCTGTCTTTAATCCCCTAGCTGCGGGCACCTGATTTGGTCTGTTCCCTGCTACCTCTACCCGAAGACACCTGTTTGGGTTCATTTGTGTTGTGTTGTGTTGGGTTTATGTCTCATTAAAGTTATTGATTTGAGATAGAATTGGATGATTTAATCTTTGTGAATTGAATACTTCAATCTTTGTTGTTTGGAAGAATTGGAATGTCCCTTTTCGAGGAACGATCTATTAAATGTTGGAGAGAGTTTAGGGCTCAATCATTTGAGTTGAATTGATTTCAATAAAAAAAAAAAGAAAAGAAAGAAAGAGATGAGAATCCTTTTAGTATCTGAAGAAGGTATAGTTGTGCCTCGGAGCCTTTTGGATTATGCCTTCTAGAGATGTGTTGGAGTTAGCACTTGGGAGCGTGCCCCATTTCATTGCTCAATCAAGGAGCCACACCGGTTGAATATTTTAGACTAACCCTTCTACCGCTTTGGCTTTCCTTTCGAAATTAATTTTGGAAGCAGGTTAATTTTCTTTTGCTTTTCTTGTTTTTTGGTTCATTTTCCTTGCTTCTTAGTTTAGGTTTTAGGCGCTTATGTCCGAAACATAAGTGCGTAAGTATAGCTGCGGCTACATGCGAAACCGTCAAGCAAGGTCGTAAGTTGGACGGTCTTTTTGGGTTATTTGGCCTTCATGATAAAGACATTCGGTGGTAGAGCGGAATAATGTTCCATTCTACGACATCAAGACCCGACCTAGAGAATCGGTGAAATGTAGGATGACAATAATATTCACCGACACCAGACTAGCATGACACTCTTACCTTCTTAGGTTGTTGGTGGTTCTAGCCCGACGGTGTGATCAATTTATGGAATTTCATATTTTTATAAAAATGATAAGAACAGTACAATCAAAATAGATACACTATTTACAAAAGAATTTTGACTACAAAAAGAAATTGATATCACTTTTTTTTTATATGCATGAAACATATTTGCATGTCATATAAATTTTAAATAATATAATTCCACTTGTTAATTG